ACGCACACGCGCACGCGCGCGCGCGTGTGTGTGTGTGTGTATGTGTGCATATATAAGTATATATATATATATATATTTATATATATATGCACACATGTCCCTCTCTCTCTCTCTGCCTCTCTCTCTCTCTCTCTCTCTCTCTCTCTCTGTCTCTCTTATATATATACATATATATATATATAACACAGGGAGCTGCCCAAAGTCTGTCTGCTCGGAGGAGCATGGTCAACATGCAGCCTTCGGGCACGGGCAGGGTGTCTTGGTCGAGCGACCGGCTCGCTTGCGTTGACTCGGAGGATCCACTGAGAGTCTGCCTCCTGACTTGCCAGGACTTCTTGGTTGATGCTTCCCAGGACTGTCAACTCCTGTCTCACTGAGTCAGCATGCAGCACGTTCGCTCCTTTACTGGAATCGTGTCTAAAGCATGTCTTGCAACCTTCTCAATGGATCATGTGCCAATCGTTGTTCTGAAGCGGAGACATGTCTTCTGATTCTGTCTCACGGCCTCACTTGACATACATAAATCAGCTGATGAAAGTCATGGAAAAGCAAGTTGAAATGAGGTCATCAAGCTATCTGGAACTGAACTTGCAAAGCACGATCAGTGCGAGGGGCCAGAAATCTAGAACGGTCGCTGACAAACCTATCTGGCAACACACGCCAGGTGCCAAGCAGACTTGAAACAATGAATTCAAAAGAATCTTTTGCGCTGGCAACAAGATCCAGCATCAGATTTTGGGGCAGAGCTTTCGCCACGCAGAGAAACTAGTTCCGGTTCGGGGTGCTGCTAGATGTTGCTGCTGCTGTTTTGATTTCTTCGATGGTGTAGGGCAGGGTTGTTGTGATAGCGATATGTTAGACGATGAGTGTTTCAATGCGAAGCTGACAGCTGTGGCAGCTACATTCTATTGCTGGTAGCCTTTTTGAGTGAGAGTACAATAGTACATTTCAGTAATGCTGCTTAGTTGCAACTAGATTCTCTCGAGGGGTTATTACTATGACAATATCAAAATCCACCACCGACGTCACGGTCATCCTGATTATCGTCAGTATTCGTGAACACACCATTTTGTGTTTAGAAAGCTTGCATTTCGAAGCGGGAGTGTCGGCTCTACAGCGGCAGGCTGAGCAGCTGTCTGCAAGTGGGCGGCATGAGGCTACGCATACGACTCCGTTTGAACTGCTGCAGTCTGCCGCGTGAAACCGACGGTGTTGCAGTGGCGTAGCTTGGAAGGTTTTCTACTTCCATCGCTGCCTCCTCAGACGTAGTTGATGCTGCTAGGCTTTTCGGCGGTTTGGAAAGATCACTGCAGGAATTTCCGCTGGAGGCCAGCAGGATGATGGCACTAGGCAGGGCTGCCCAGTGCACCGCAGAGGCTTGGTCGCCCCCACCTGACCTTCAAAAGCCCCGAAGAATTCCGCTTCCTCTGGGGCCTGTGATGTTCTGCCTTTGGCAGTGTCTGTGTAAGGCTGGTGCAAGCTCAGCCCAATGGCCGTGGCTGGATGTTGCTGGCCCAGTTTGGGGGAGTTGTGTTTGAGGGGGCAGGCTGAACAACCCACGCGGATCCGTCCGTGGAGCTGTAGCCAGGTCCAGGCTCATGATACCTAACCGACTTCAGACTGCCTTTTGTTGTGCCAGTTTTAAAGCCGATCTTGTCAACACTTAGTTTGTCAATGGTGCAGCACCATACGCCCCCATTAACCTGACACACAGCAAAATGAACCTCAGATCAGAAGTTTGCAGGGAGTCGGGTAGCTGGGTGTCGGCTCGTCAGAATCAGGTACAGTACGACATGCCACCGCTAAGAAGCTTTATCATTGTGCAAAGATTGCCCCATGGATTGCTTTGCATCACATCACATCCTCTCCACAATCAATGCAAGGGCCATCGCTGTCAGCGAGATCCCGATCACCCCTCATTCTGATTAGACAACAAAGACCCACATCGAGTTCAGGGGCTGCGACGATTGAAGTTCGGCTTGCTTGACAAACTCCGGTCGAAGTCTACCATCTGCTGTGAATCCGAAGTCAATCACGGCACTTCTGCTCCCAAGGCTGGGCGTGGCGGAAACGGTGAAGGCCCCGCCGCGCTCAGGCCCGGCTTTGCTCCCAGGGTGCGGACCTGAAACTGGGCGGTACTATCCCCGCCCCCCCAAGTAGGGCGCCAGCACTTTCCCACACCACAGCACCGCGGGCATCTCCGCTTTCAGATCCGCGAGTGCGCACGTGGGGATCTATGGCTTCAGCCAAGAAGTCGAACCATCGGCTCTTGCCTATCAACAAAAAATAGGCGTGTGCATGCAGGGGGACCCGCAACGGCTGAAGTTCCGGCACATGCAGGGTGACCTCAGCACATGCACCCTCATTTGCTGCTTGCATCCCGAAGCTTGGAAGCCATCTTCTCATAGTGACGGCTTGTACCGTTGAGAAGGCGAGGTGGCGGCCCGGGACGCTTAATCTCGTGAACAGCCGGTAAGACCCTGAAACTTGTGTAGGGACGGGCGAGTTTTAGAGCACGCCGCTTCGAGTTGGGCCTTAGGTGGACGGACTATTGAGTCACCTTTCGGCGATTTATTTGGCACTTGTCCATCTTCCCTGATGCCTGAGCGCCTTTGAACTTCATTTTGTCTGAAAGCGCTCCATTGCTTATGGTCTGGTTGGTCAGCCCTGTAGCTTCCTCGGGGTATGCCAAATTCCGCATTGGCTCGCGCGCTTCAGTCGATTGTGGGAGTACTGCCATCCCTGGACCATCTTGAAAGTATTTGACGTGACCTGCCTGTGCAGACGTCTTTCTCCTGTCGGCGAGGCTTTGCACCCGAACTTGGGGTCACAGTCTTCTCGAGAGAAGTGTCCAATGCCGAGGCTCTTCCCCCTGGGTGAAGACGAGGTCAGCCCTGCTGACAAGGGATCTCGGTTCCAGGCGCAATAAAGACAAACCAGCAGAGAGAGAGCCCGGGAGCTCCGGCGAGAGGTCGTGCCTGTCAGCGACATCCTGCCCGTTGTCGTAAACCGCGAGGTGGAGGCAACGTCCGAAAGTCAAAGCGTCACCGGGGTGTATGGCACACGAAGAAGCCCTCGTCTCCTGCGCATAGTCGTGGTCTTCAGGCGATTTGGGCAGCTTGTCGCCAAGATGGGCCCCTTAGCAAGATTTCCGCAAAGACTCCGATGCATCTGCGAGTCTCGAACAAGAGCTGTCTCCGAGGTCCATCACGCCCTTCGTGGATGACCTTCTCTTCGGCTCTGCCGGCTCCATCCAGGCTGCCAGCACAGTTCTTTGACGAAGTCACCCCGCTGGCACCTGCAAAGTCGTAGAAAGTGCATGTTGTCGTGGCACCGGGCATCGTCAGGCTACGGCAGAGGTGGTGGAGGCTCCAGGGGTGTGCTGCAGGCTGCGACCTAGCTTTGCTTCACCGAAGGTCGAAGATGCGGAGCTCAACCAGCAGCAGATAGCTGCCGTCGCACGTGCGAGTGCTGCGAAGCTCACGCTGGTGCGCTCTGCCAGTGCTCTGCATCAAGTCGAAACCTGTCCATTTAGCTCGCCACAACCCCGTCGGCCAGTTGCTGACACGATTGTTTTCAAAACGGCCAAAGTGGCCAAAGAAAGTCTTCAGCGACATGGTATGATTTCTCGTGTATGTTTCCGAGTGGAGAGCAGTCAGGGGACGAGCGACGTTTTCCCGCATTGCATGCGAAGTTCCGCTCGGGGGTTCTTGATCAGGTACAAGGGCCCCCCGGGACGGGCAAGAGCATGGCACTCAGATGTTGGCCAGTGGGGATTTTTGCTTGTTGGTATCCCATTGAAAGACGCGCCGCAGGCGAAGTTGCCGTGGGACTCTCAGGCTACGCGAACAATGACCCCTGAAAAATGAGAAAGACGCACGGCGAGAATGAAGCCAAACAGTGGGTTGTAAGTGTTTGTCCTGGTAGTTTCAGGCAGCGATCGTCCAGCAATGGATGAAGGATGAGACGGAGCACATCCGGCCGATTTTCAATCAGGTCTCCCAGCAATGTGACACTTCAGTCGCCAGGTCTGTGCTCTTGGCGACCTCCACACATGCCGCCAAGGACCACAAGCACTTTCCAGCTTCAACTGATAAAGGAGCTGAAGCCGCTTACTGGCTGGAGGATGTGCTCGGACAGCGTTTGCGTCGCCGGCAGCAGCGCCCACAGCAGTGGTTGAATGATCCTGAGCTCGCTTGCAATTTCCGGCCAGCACGACTGCGAAGGATTCAGCCGAGCTTGCGCGCATGACTCGGAATGTTGTTGCCACCGCGCACAAGAGCAGCTGAGTTCTGCATTGTGTTCTCCGGGTCAGTTTGTTGATGATCAGGCTCAGTTTGGCTCAACCCATGTGACTATGTGTGTGTATGCTGGCCAGGCTGTAGACACTTTTTTGTTTCTCGAGGTGTGCTCGATATCCCAAACGGTGACCTTTCTGCTCGCTGCATAGTGTCACTCCGGAGACCCTGTTCTGGCTCCAGTGCTGAGGTGTTCGAAGCAGCAGCCCGAATACTGCCAGAAAAGCCGAGGCGGCCGCCTGCTTTGTTTCATGAGCTCGATTGCTTCCTCCATGGCCTGTGATTCCAAAGATGGCAGGTATTCGTCGAAACAGTCTACATGTCTGGTTCAGCTCCGGGCAGGCCAGAGATTGCTGAAAATCTTTAGACCTCTCCCATGAGCACCTTGCGGCCCTGGCTGCAGGACTGTGCCCAAAGTCCTGCTGGACGAGCTGGATGCCGAGAGGGGGCCGGGTTGTCCTGGCCCTGCAGCGGAAGCCCGAAACGGCACACGTCCATACACATCCGTACACCACTCAAGGAGCTCTCAAATAACGACGGCAGCGGTGAGCTTGCCGGGCTTGGACCGTGGGATACTGTTGCTGACGCCAGTGCGAGTCACACTGCGAACACAAGACTAGTTTTCCTTCTTCTTCTTTCGTGCGGGATTCGCCAGGCGCTTGTGGCTTTGACGCATGGCTGCGAGAAGTCCCTCAACAGAACTGGTAGTTCCGTGGACCGTCGCAGTGACAGATGATGACACGTGATGAGGCTTGTGCTCATCGGAGATCCTCAGCAACTGGGGTCCAAGCCCTGGCTCGTTGCACAGTACACATTCTGTGATTCTCATGCATGTGCTGGCATAGAATGCTGTGGGTGCCTGGAGTGTGATGCGACTCTACTTAAGTGCGAGCGTCACAACCCTTGAAGATCAGCAAGAGGCTGACGCCAGTTGCCAGCTGTCGAGCCAAGCATTCAGCCAATCAAGTCTTCGTCCTTCCGCCATTACCATGAGACCGGCATCATCATCATCATCATCATCACCATCACCACAACCAGCACCACCACCATCACCATCACCATCACCATCACCATCACCATCACCATCACCATCACCATCACCATCATCACCAGCATCAGCACCATCATCATCATCATCATCTTCATCAGCATCCTCATTGTCATCGTCATGTCATCATCAGCATCATCACAGTCGTCTTTATCAGAACAGAGGCAGCATGATCACAATGAGTGTCAGATCAATCTCAACATCGAAATCCTCTTCCTGATCATTGCTTGCTTCAGAATCAATGAGGTAAGGCCACCCTTTCAATGTCGAAAGGTCTTGATAGCCACACGAATCCCCGTGGCACATGTCTATCAGAGTCTATCACTCTGGACCAGATTGTAAATCAACGACCGTTCCCTGCTTTCGCTGTACGGCATCAAGAGGTGAGGGTCTCATGGCATTTCCAACTGGGCCTTTGGGCCTTGCCGCCCCAAATTTCGACAAATAAACTGCAAGAAGCGTGCCGTTTGCGGTTTCCAGCCCTGCCCAGCTCAATCAACCTCCCAAAGCCTCCCACTAGGGGCGCAGGTTCAAGAGTGCGTGTTTTGCCGTTCCGAGCCTGCGTGCTTTGTTCAACAGGCCTCCCCAAACCATTACCTGATTACATGAAAAGAGCGCGTCTGGTGCATTCGGTGATTGTTGTTTTTTCAAGCGTTGCCGATGGCTGTCAGGCCCGTCTCCAGCTTTGGCTCGGCACAAAAGCTCGGGACTTGAAGGCTTTCGCCGTGGCTGGGTTGATGAGGTGAGCGTGGAATCCTCCTGGTTTTTCGTGCTCAGGCTGGACGGCGGGCTCGATGCTTTTGCGGAGGAGCGCCGCAGTTTCTTCGAGGTGGGGGGATTTTTGCTTTGGTGAGAATGTCCATAGCATTTGCACCCCCGTTCCCTTTGCACTCCGTGCAGATACTCGCCGACAAGTTCCGATTGCAGCCGCACAGACTGCAGGCCAGGGGTATATCCACCACTAGTCGTCTGTCGTCACCGAGCCTCTGCTTGCTGTGTGTTTGGTCTTAGAAGAGCATTCCTAAGCTCGCCCGTAAGGTTTTTCGAGCCCCGGCATCCCAAGTTTGCAAGCCCGGGGGTTTGAGGTTCAAACGCATAGGCCCGAGAGCCCGAGAGCCCGAGCGACAAAAGCCCAAGGAATGGCACGGAAGACCTGCGACCCCCAACGGAGAGCACTGACAGTGGGATCCCATACTTCCGCTAAGGGATGCGATGCACTGTGATGCACTCTGGTTCACGTCTAGACCGTGACCGTGTGAAAGGTTCTGGAGATTCGTTTTCTCAATAGTACCGTTCGGTGTTCCTTGTTCATACCATCAAGAGTTACAGGTGACCGGTCTTAAGATGCAGCAAGAGATGCCTGGACATCATGCCCGGGTAATGTCACGACTTTACCTGTCAAGACATGATAACCGTTGCCTTTGCATACATCGCCTCCGCAGTTACGGCAGCTTGAAAGTGACTGCCAATCCACCCACCAATGATGTCTACGTGTATTTTTCCGGTAAGATATGAAGGAATGCAGCCCCACGATCCGTTCATGTTGAAAGGTTCAGTATCGTATGGACCAGCGTCTCTGCCAGCAACTCAGACAGACCCACTTCTGCCCAACTGCAAGATGCTGGAGTCCTGCCGACGAGAGGCGACTACCCTTCGCAGCGTTTCTACAACGGTGAGCTTCAAACTGCTGCATCTGCAGCTTGCCGAAGACATGCCCTGCGACATAAAGCATCTCAATGCTCGTGGCTACAAGGTCGGGGAAGGAGGCGTGACTCCACAGATGCTTCCAGCTGGAATAACCTTCAAGGCAACGCTTATGTGAACTTCGGCTTGATGCAAAAGGTGATATGCAGCCCTGTCAAGTGAGCAGGGGTTGAGGATGTAGATTCCAGCATGGAGTGGGCCTTGCCGCAGGCTGGAATTCCGGGGCATCCTGTTGTCTTCCTGGTGCCTCGCGCCCGTTGAGCCACCCTGGAGTTGTCAAGATATGGAGCGGGTATCAGCAGGACACCTCAGCGATCGAGGGATGCAGGGAACAGTTGGTGTTGCTCCAAGCTTGTGGGACACGATCTCATGGAATCCCCGGGCCAGATCAGCTGGTTCCGCTAGGTGCCCTTCTTCGGAAGCATCTCTATCCACAACCGGATGGAGGCGCAGATCGCAAGATTCCCAGATGCGTCGAATGCATGTCCAGCAGCTTTCATTGCCGGAGCTGGCAGCAGAGGTCGCAGAGTTGCTGCGTGGCTTCCAGGCCCAACGGTGCCTTTTCTTGATCTTATGAGGGCGCGAAGTCTTCATCAAACTCTCCGAGGCCGCTTCTGTCGAGGCCGCCCGCCTCTGTGCCGCGGTCTCAATCGAAGGGCAGCCACCGAAACATCGTCTTCTAGGTGGCGGCAGAGTCGGTAGAGCTTCTGCGTCACGCAGTGGCCTTAAAGGTGCTCACAGCCTACAAGGCACAGGACAGCTTGCTGGACGAGGCGACGAGAGCAGGAGAGCGCAGCCGAGCCGATGGGTCCTCGTTTTTGCAAGGTCATTCACGGAGGCAGCTCGGCGGAGCGCCTGAGGAAGCGGAAGAGCCGCTCGACGATGATCCGGGAGCGCCTCGGCGAGCAGAGCCGGAGCAGAGGCGAGAGACAAAGGCGACGCAAAGCCCAAGGCAAGGCGTGGATCCTTTGGAGAAAGAGTCCCATCCGCGCATCTACACAGTGGATGGCTTCCAGGCCCGTCAGGGAGCTACGAAGCTGAGAAGATCTGAAACGGATTCGGCCCCCAAGACTTGGAGGGAGCCTAGATGCTGATTCAGAGCATTTCAGACACAGGCTCTGCCGACGTCCTTCGAAGGACCGAACTCCCTACGTGACAGGCCCCCTACCTTTGCAACCTGCTGGATCCTGCTGGAAACAGAATGCTTTACAGACGCCAGAAGTGCTGCTCTACGGTGTGGATGTTGATCTCATCTACCCAATAAACTAACAGACCACCCGCCGGAAACTTGTCAGCCAGTGCTTGGGAAAATGGGGAATCCCCCCAGGTGGTTGCAGACTGAGCTGATGGTTTGACTCAAGATGACACATGATGAACTTGTCCAGTATCTAGTTTGGAGGGCAACGAGAGTGACTACGTCTTCTACTCAGCTGCGCGGCGCTTGGCCATGTCGTTTGTGAAGGCTTCACTGCATCGACAATAGGTAGCCAAGTAGCCAGTCGCAGGATGCGATGCTGATACATCCTTTTGCCAAAGCATCTATGCTGGCTGCACGTGCTTCTGGTGCATCCAGTATTGATCAAAGGTGCCAGAATCATCAAGTCATGTACCCACCTTGAGATTCTCAGACTTCAGCAGTACACTTAGGCGGTTCCCTGGGTTCTTGCCACACTAGGCCACTAGGCCTTTAAAGCATTCTGAGACGACTGCTGAGAAGTCAGTTTTCGTCTGAGGTGCGGAGTGGTGGCACCGCAACGGGATTCTCGGGAAATCCGCAGCGCCTCTGCGTTTTGCTGACACGAGCACGTCTGGGCCTCGCAGTGTTGTCTTGCTTCAATTCTGCGAACGCGGCCTGCATTGCATATTTGTTGTCTGCAGGTCGTGGGCTGATAGTTGTGGGGAGTCGTGACACTCTCCAGCACACCGAGGAGCGCGGACATTGCACGCGCACTTTAAAAGTCTGCAGTAGTCCGCGGAAAAATGTGGCTGTTGTTCAAGACAACTGATCAGTATCTGCTCAAGTAGTCGAGCGCCGGTGCGCAGGAGTGGCAGCGATGGCTGGATTCTGCCGACAAACAAGAGGCCTGGCCATCGTTGGAGTGCTGCCCTGCTCTGACATCTACCGTTTTGGTCACAACAAAAGAGTGCACGCAGTGATCTTGCGAGTTCACGGTGGACGACGAGCTTGTGGCGAAACTGCAGAGGACGGGTACCCTTGTTACTTGTCGCATGACGGCATGGACTGAAGCAAAACAGAGAGGATCACCACTCCATGAATACGAAAAGTAGTTCCGTGATTCCGTGTACTGTTACATCAGTTTCGCGCAGGCGGGAAGTCGCTCAACGGGGGCCACTCTGAAGGAGGACGTCGTCAACAGCACCGGGGCCGACACGGAGACCTTTCGAAGAGCGCCTTGGCGACGGAGCGGAGCACCCAATCAGCCTGCCTCAGTTCGACATGAAGAGACCAGACGAGTTCCAGATTTGTGGACAGCTCCTCCTGCGTCCGACGAAGACGGAGTGCCGAGCTGTGCAGCGATTCCGTCTGGCAGACCTTCGACAATATGCTGAAGGCGGCAAAAATCTGTTTTTCTCCTGTCTGTCTCTGCGCCTTTGCTAGCATCATCTTCATATTGGCTTGTGTGTGATCCCAGTGAATGAACGGTTTCACGCGTGTGGCCGGAATATATTACAATCGGGTCAAACCGTAGATTGCAGCAGTCTGCCATGTGGTGGGCTTGAGCTCGTTTTGCCCCTTCAAAGTTGTTCACGCCTGAGTTGTTGAGGCCAATGCTTACGCCTACGCCCAAGAGCCGTCATCACCCGAATTGCCAAGGACATGTGCATGTCAAAGGAGCAAGCTAGCGACGAGCCCAGGCAGGTGTGCTAGCACCGAGTCGCAGGGGCACATGAGATCCATGAGATCTTCAGGAAGGCCGCCAGTTTGGGCACCTTTGTGGGAGCCTCAAACTCGGAGCCTCGAACGAGCAGAGTCGTGAGACAGCGTCACAGGAGCTCCCGCTACCGCCAGTGGACAAAGAGCGCTTCAGGCACTGGCTGCTCTAGTATGAGGATGTAGAGAGACAGCGTGTTGTTCCTGGGTCTCATGAGACTTAGACTTAGACGTAGGCTAACCGAAAGAGGCGGCTGCAAGTTCTGGTGCAAGAGGAGAGGAATCATGGGCAGTCGCAACCTCGGATAAACTCTGTGCTTCCTGTGGCCGAGTGTTCTGTTCGTCTCGAAGATGAGGATTGAGTTGTATGAAGACCAACTGCAAGGTTGCAAGGCTGACCATGGTAATGCTCTTGCTTCTGCGTGCATGAAGCTATCTTTGCAGGTGGTGGGAAAACGAATTTTCCGCTCGTGGACCCTGGGAAGTGCCGAGGCCTCTTGCCTGGAAGCTCTAGACAAAATGCATGGATGGTGTGTTCTAGCGTGGCGTTGTAGTTCCCGTGTTGCGGCCTTCCTTCCAGGAGTTCGCAGCGGCCCATCCCGACCTGCTGGAGAGCCCATGGAAGGTCACTGCAGATGCTCTCAGGAGACGGGACGCGGAGAGTTTGCAAATGGCAGGAAGTGGAGATCAGCCTTGTGCTGGGCTTGAACAAAGTCCAGGCAGCCTCGCCCTTTGGCTTCGCCTTATCGCATTTCCTGTCTCTGTAGGCGAAGCTCGGAGTGTGCAAGAGCTTCGGAGCCTTCCGAGATGAAGAGGCGAGAGGGCGAGAGTGACCACAAAGACCACAAAAGAAATTATTCAAGGTCAGAGTGAGTCCTCCCTGAATAGGGCGACATCCTGCTGTTCATGGAGGCGACAGAGACAACGGCTGCAGTGTTGTAAATTTGTGTAAGGGTGTGTTCGTGCTGTCATCCTGCTCAGTACATCAGCGGTGGCGACTTGCACGACTTGGCAAGTAGATGCTCCACCAAACCCGGACCAGAGAGGGAGCGGAAGGCCAGCATCGCCAAAAAGCACCGGCTTTTGGAAGAACCTGCACAGCGCCTCTGTCGTAGGTGTGGCCGGTGGTCCTCTCGCTGCTGCGGGGAGTCCTTGACCCAGTGATGCGTGGAATTCGCTGGCGGCCTTGGGGTGCGTGGACCTGTCGCATCAGCCGAGGTCCGCTGCCTGCACGATGCTGGCGCGACGGCCCTACCTGCCTACTTGCACTTCTGTGGTTCGATAGTATGTAGCTCAAGCGCATCTCAAGCCGCATCTCCGACGGGTGCAACTGTCGAGAGTCTGGCTTGAGGGTGCAGCCTTTGCAAGGTGGCTCACGGCGACATTTCGCTGGAGAATGCATTGCTCGGGCCGGATGGAGAGGCTTTGCTTTCGAAAAGCCAGCAAGATGATTGACATCTTTCGATCTGGACAGGTCAGGCTGATTGATTTTGCAGCTGCAGCAGCGCCTGGCATGTGTTTGGATTGCTGCAGCTAGCAGCACGGTGGACTCTAGCCTCTAGAGGCCTATTCGCAGAGAGCCCATGGCAGGAAGCAGACCTGTGGGTGCAGGGCATTCGCGGCAAGCCGTCTTATCAGGCTCGAGTGGTGCAGTGAAGCTACAGTCTAAGGGCGATCGAGTCACTCGTGTCATTAGTGCAGGCCCCAGAAATGCACCAGCACTGGCCTTGGAACCCTTGTTCAAACCCTCAGAAAAAAAAACAAACGATTCCTTCGCTGGACTGCCTGCAAGGTCTGGCTGCTACGATGCGAGGGCGGCTGATCTCTTTGCCTGCGGAGTGTGGGGCTGAAGATGATTGAGGAGCTTTGTTGGCAGAGCAGTGCGAGTATGCACTTTGCGTCGTTGTCCAACGCCTCTCGCTCGCTCCCTCCCTCCCTCCCTCTCTCTCTCTCTCTCTCTCTCTCTCTCTGTCTCTCTCCTTTCCTCTCCCCGTCTCTTTTCCGGAGGTCTTCGCCTACTGTCTCGCGTGCGCAGACTATCCCTGGAAGTGTACCAGGCCGGATTGGACTTGCAGATGCGCCTGCATTCCCACGAAGCCACATATACAAGATTCAGCATGCGGAAGTTAATCATCAAGAATGAAGCAACAAAAGGCAACAAGACTGATCAGAACTCAGCACTTGAGACCCAATCAGCTTCCAACGTGGCTCAGCCAGGCTGCTCGTGTGCCGCACAACCTTAATCACACAAACAAGTTGCAACTTTTTAGCTGGCGACCCTAGCTCTCAGCAGAAAGCTCAACTTGCATCGCATGCGCAAGTCAAAGCTGATCAACGACACAAAGAAGCAGCAAGCGATCTGGCTTGCAGCCTTCACATGGTTTTTGGCGAACCTTGGGGATATTGCCGAGGGTTCGCAGATGACTCGGGAAAAGGCTCGTGCTGTCGGTGGAAGCTAGTAGCAGTTGCGGTTCGTTTGTCTGCTTCAGCTGCTTGGGACATGTCACATGTATGGTGTGTGCCTCCAAGTTTGCATCCAGGCCGCAGCAGTGCCCTGCTTTCGAGTTCTTCATGATGCACGGGCTGACGGCCTGGGTCCAGGGACATGAAATTGGCACCGCGATCCAGCAAGACATGCATCCTTTTTGTTCCGACGAGTTCTCTTTGCTCGGAGTCGTGTGGTGAGACTCTGGCAATCAGGACATAAGGTAAGGCAGCAGTCGTAGTCGTACTCATACCATAGCAGTCCGACGAATCCCAGCGACTGTCCACGGCGGAGGCTTTTCTTCAAAAGAGACGCGTACGCCTTGCAGACGGCTCGAGAGGGCGAGCCATGCGCTTTTTTTCTCCCCGTGGAGCTTTGAGGTTATACCATGGGTTTCCACGAATACGTGGAGTTGAAGCACTACAAGTTTATAAGGTGACCATCAGTCATGAAGTTACCAGCGCACTGTTTAAGTAGTCACCTGGTGCAGGCGAGTCGCCGGATTACCCTGTCGCAGCTAATTACTGGATGAATGAAAGAACAAACCGTTTTCTAAGTCACTTCAATTTTTCAGTTGTTAGCGCAATTAATGCACGAACTATACGCAAGCAATCAAGCAACTTGCTCGTTAGAAAGTGTGTTGCTTGTTTGCTTGCTTGCTTGGTCGCTTGGTCGGTTGGCGGGTTGGTGGGTTGGTTGGTTGGTTGCTGGTTGAAGAATCGAATGACTTCTACGTGACTAACGAATAAACCCGTGGGTTGTAACATGTATGTGTACCCAACTGGGTAGGTAGATGTAGAGGCAGCTCCCAGGAGGCATGCCGAGGATTGTATAAGAATGGTTTCCAGACTCACGGACCTCTGGCGATGGCTCTCCCACCACAGATTCGACCTCCTCAGCCGGCCATTGAATGCCTGGCGATGCGATTGTCGTCTGCCGCGGCCAGGCAGCCTGTTGAGGGACTTTTGTCCCCTGAACTCTTGCAGCTGCCGGTGCCTCGATCAATTGCGATAGTTAGGACCACACAGCTGCTTCGGGACCCTCTCAGGATGGAAATCTTGCTGAATCCCGATCCAGCACGTCGTTACGAAGTTTGGTCCGTCCACTGCTCAACAGATTTTCCAGCAGTCGTACAGTGGGGGGTGCAGGCGCAGGCGGCAGGGCTTTCTGTGGCTGTCGTCAGGCCGATTCGTTCATGAGCTTTGAGACCGAGCCTTTGGAGGACAGTGCAGAAGCCATCAAAGCGACATCACGTCTACGGCATCAGGGTTCTCGTCATGTTGAGCACTGGCAGGAAGCTGGGTACAGCGCGAATCCGCAACCTCCCCACACAGTGAGAGTGAAATGAACGAAGCTGACGGGCGGCCCAGCCATTTCGCGGTCCAGACTCCACTGTCTGGATCGGATGACTGTCTCGCAGGATTACGTGTTCTTTCGCCTCCGCTGGAGGAAGTTGAGGGAGTCCTCATCCCGAAAACCAGCAAAGCCACCGGATGGCGCTGGTTTTGCGCTTGTGCGCCAGTTTGGAAAGCTGACCTGATTCTTTCAAGGTCGCGAATCGTTTAATCTTGATACCTCATGACCCCGAGCTTCTGTGGACGATGGCCCGTCTGTCATACCGCTGCACAACAAATGACTGCAGAGTGCATCACACGTCCGAAGATGCATATCGTTCGCAGAGTTTAACCTCGGGATGCCACCACAATGAATCCAATGAGGCCATCGAATAGCTCGGGACGTGACTTGACTTAGAGCCGTCTAGACTTCTCTTTTTCTCATTCTCTCACTTTCGCGCCAGCCTAGCTCCGGTGTGTGTGTGTGTGTGTGCGTCTGTTTTTGTGTCTGAGTGTGAGCAGGAAGCTATGTGAGAAGATGCTCCCCCAATGTGCCACACTGGGTGGAAAGTGAGAGCTCCGACAATTGCCGGGACCAAGACGAAAGCAGTTATCAGCATCTCGGGGACACCTGGCTACTCTTTGAAATGGTGCCAAGACTCCCCTGTCTAAAAATCGGGGGATTCTATGTTCCCCAATTGTGAGCGTTCGTTTTTCATGTTGTAGACTGCAGTCGTTAAAATATGCCATGAGAGTCATCGTGACCGTGCAGCATGGGACTGCACCTTTGAGGGAACATGAGCGGAGTGCGAGCAAGCTCTGTGCGCGCTCCGTGCTTCGGACCTTGTGCCGTCGAATCTTAGAATCCCTTGCTGGGTTCGTTTGATGTGGGTACGGCAGTCGATAAGAGCACTGTGTTAAGGATGATGTTTTTTTGGGAGACATACCTTCGGAGGTTATTTGATAAAAGGTTATTTGATGGAAGTTTGCTGCCGAAAGTGCACAAGGCGGCGGATGGAGTCGGCACTTGCCCTGCTGAGCCTGACATGGCCCAGACTTCCAGCAAAAATGGCAAAAAGAAGACTGCCCGAGTATCCGCATCAGCTACGAGCAACGAGCCCTCATCGACTGTGAGTGCTGAGCTCGTTACGGACTCATGTGCTCACAGTTTGTTATATTCCAGCTCGCGAAGGAAATGCGAGCACCGAAGAAGGCTTGTTTGAAGAGTCTTTGCATGCCGGATCAGGCGTGACTAGCACGCATGTGCGGACCATTGCGCACCAGTACCCAGAGGACACTGAAGCGGAGATGGACTGCCGGCCCACTATGTGATGGCATTCTCTTGCGGACCATGTTCTTGAGCTGACTGGTGAAGTCTGTAAAAAAATTGTGAGACACGACTTCAGAAGCTGCATTGTTTGGCTGCTGTGGCGGTGCTGGCGTCGTTGATTGGAGCTTCTCTTGCAGCACTGCAGACTCGAGTGTCAAGTAGATGCAGACTTGACAGCAAATCATGCAAAAACATGCTTCTGTGCCCAGCATCAGCAGCATATCTAGGCGACGAGATGTCACGCGTGCTAGCAGCGAGAGCTTTCAGTGAGGACAGTCAGAGCCTACCCTTCAAGACATGCACCATGGACTCCTTCTTGTGCTTGCTGCTTACGACATTTACCGCGGAGGCAGGCTGTCGAGGGTTCCCACGGGCTTCCTGCAAGGAGAGCACCACGAAGCTTTCTGTAGGCGTCCACACAGCGATGTCGCATATTCCTGTCGACGCATCACCAAAACTAGAATCAATCATTTAGGCACGACTCGAACCGACGGCATGGTAGAGCGTTGCCTGGCGAGGCGAGCTTTTTTGACATCTTTCCAGTCCCCTGGCCGGTCAAGAGCAGCTGTTCTCTTTCTGCACTCTGCTTTTGTACCCGGCTTTGTGCTCGGCACAAAGGCAGAGGCTTTTTGTTCCAGGTGGTTGACCCGGCCCAGCATGCAGTGTACGACGCCGAGTCAGTCGTACTGTCCTGTTTACACGTGACAGCGTGTCTCCGCCGCTCCCGCGATGCCAGCTGCAGATCGTCGGCACCGCTCGTGTGGACGGCTTGCAGGCTCTTGCACACATTGGCACACACGCTACGGCGGTAGAGTCGGTATTTTCGAATCTCTTCAGGCTTAAGTCCTTTAGAGACGTGGCATGGTTGGTCCATACCTTGGCTATCCACGTGATAGGAGCCAGCATGATGATGACCATGCTGTGGAAATGGTTCGAGTGAGATCATGATTCTGAACCTGTTGTCATAGGTGATCTGACGTTGTTGATGCTAACTTGGTGGTGCTGATCCGTGGCCGCACCATCACTGTCTCCAATCTCGTCGTCATCTTCACCGTCATCACGATCATCGGAATCACGATCACTATCACCATCACCGCCATCGTGTTCACCATGAGTTCGACCACGGTTTCATGTCGATCGTCAGCAACAGCAGCACTGGAGCACCATCCCCAGGAGCATCATGACCACTACCAGTCACGACCACCATTTACCATCATCATCACGCGCAGCAGCATGGCGCTGTGGCCTTGGTCCTTGTCAGACTCTTCAGAAAATGGACCCGTCCTCTCGTGGCTGTCTGCGAAGCCAGGCCAGCTTGAGCTCGCGAAGATGGCGGCCAGTGCAGCTGTCAGAGGCGTCTAGAGCGACCCTCGCGGTGCATTCTGCGCATCCGACCTCCGCGGCGTCCGCGGAGAGGACCGGGTTCGCGTAGCTTCGCCTTTTGCGAGTTTCTGAAGGATGGCAAGGAGCCGAGGGCGCTCATGAGCTCGAAGCCCAGTCTCCAGCAGAATGGAGAGCCGTGTTGAGATAATGCAGGCAAAGCCAGGAGAGAGACGTTTGAATGCGCTGCCAGCGATCGCGTGCACGGCCGAAGTGCAGCGTCACCGTATCTATTGGTTGCAGTGACTCCGCTCACCGCTGTACCTGCTTTTGTCCAGGTGTCGGCATTGGCGACTTCCGGAACACTTCATCTGGACCGTGCGCTTCCGCCACTGGCGTCAAAAACCCTGCCAGTACTGTAACGAGGCAATGCAGCTTTGCATTGATGGCTGCATGAAGGTACCGAGAACTTGCCATTGCCTTCCCAGCCTGTGAAAACGAGGAGCTTCACAGTCCCGTTTCTGCAGCCTCGAAGAATGTCGGGTGGTTCCAGGATATCGTGCTCGATTGCGGAAGCTTCATGCACTGTCAAGACAAGCTGCCGGCATGTGCCCACACGTGAAAGTCTCAGAGATCTCTCTGGCAGATTTGCTTGCAATGTACATCTTTCATGCTTCTCGGCCCACCTGTCGTGGTCGTCTGACAGACTCTTGTGCAGCTATGGGCCTCAAGAATTATCTGTTGCAGGTTCATGTTCCGCAGCTATGCCAGCAACGAGGCCTGGCACCCTGGTCTTCAAACGCTTCTGCCACTCAAGCGGCCCAAGCGCATGGAGGCGGCTGTCCTTAGCGCGCGCTCGGCCGGAATTTCCGCGCAGCTGAGTACCAGGCCCCTGCACTGCCCCGCCTTTGCTGCTCCGAGCTGCCGCCCACCGCAAGGTTCGAATTTTCACTGGAGAAAGCCGGGAGAGGACACATCTTGGCCTTCTCTGTCATGGGGTGCGCCGGCTTTTCAGCTGTGAACTCTTAGTTGTTTCTTGTGCGAACCTCAGGTCGGAAGATGATGAGCTCATGCAGGGTAAAGTGGAGGTGATCAACAGCCTTTGCCTTAGCACTTGGATGTGGATGGTAAAGGACGGCTTTAGGACGGCTTAAGCCCTTTTTCTCCGATCAAGCACCTCGATGCTTCGGCCCCTCTCCCTGAAGAGTGTGCGATGGCCGTCCACGAGGAGCTGGCTGCCGAAGCAAGCACATTTCGCCACTTTCTCTGCTCTTTCCTTCGCAGCCTCGGCGGTGAGGACACATGGCTCTGCATCGCTGGTTGTTTGGCGGCCGCGGAACTTTGCAGCACCGCTGCCGGCAGCGTGCTGCTGGTCGCCACGGGTTCGCTTTGCATTCGTGACTCATGAATCAGCGCCGAGTGAGTAGAGTTGCGCCGCGGACATCGCTGGAGAAGTCCGAAATCTTTGATTTTGAGCCCGACCTTGGTCAGGCGAGGTCCTGTGCCGCGAGCTTGCTTGAGCGAGTGTCGCTCTCGGAGGTGAAACTTCAGTTGCAGCTCACATCTACCGTGCCGACCATGCCGAAGGCAGCTGCAACAGCGCTTTCGACGAATGACGCGGCCTGCCTGCGCCTGGAAGAGATGGAGACTTCCATGGGCGAGGAAGACCTGCAGAAGGCCAGAGTCCTGTCGTGGTTGACCCCCCCGCCCTTTATGCTGTCCGATGCTGTTTGAAGCCCACTCGCGACGTCGCTTGAACTGCGCTACCTTAGGCTCGACGTGTCGGATGCCCCGCCTGAAATCGGATGCCGTGCGCAGTGTAAAATTGCAACGCTGCAGTGTTGCAGTGGTCATCAAAGACGAAGGACATGTGAAGGGGCCCTGCTGCTGCTTGGGTGCTGTCCCCTAGCCCTACCCATCACATGCAACGCTCCCTCGAAGCTCACAAACCCTCTTCAACGTCCTCTGCAGGCTTTGAGCTGCTTGTCACAAGCCCAGCGTGCCGTACGCACCCCGGCTTTTTCGAGCTCCCTGCAGCAGCGCACGGAACTGTCGAGAAACTCAGTGCTTATGTTCTCCAGAGTCTACCTTTCCTTGAACAGTGTTTGTCCATCTGCAGTGACTGGACCACGATGTTGTGCAGTGATGTGCAGTGGATGGTCGAAGTGCCTTTCGTGGTTTCAGTGGCTACCAATATCATTTCTGGGCCGCAACTCTGGAAAAAATGACCTGACCTGCTTATTCTTTTCTTTGCCAAGGAGACTTGCTTGTGTCGGCTGACGTGTCTCGGCAGCGATAGACTGAAGACAACCCCTTATTGGCTGCTGGAGAGAGGTGGGCCAAGGTCTCCAAAAACCAAGTAAGCTCAACAGGATTCCTAGTTTACAAACGCAGCTTGAAGCAGAGCCCGTGCGCCGAAGGACCGCGAGCTAGGTCTTTGATCTGCTGTGAGGCGACTGGGCGCCTGGGCCTTGGCCTGCAGCGCTCTGCAGCAGTGGCTGGCCGATTGGAGGAGGCAGCAGCAAAGGATGACTTTCATTGCTGCAGCTGCTGCTGCAACTGCTACTGCCAAGGCTGCGGCCACTGAAACTCTGCTCCGACGACGACGAGCACAACCGCTACGACGACGACTGCTACTACTACGACGACTGCTACTATGATGACTTCTACAACTACAACTACGACTATCACTACTACTCCAACTCATACTCCTGCTGTTCGTACTCCTACCCCACTGACACTGCTATTGTTACTGCCTCTGTGCTGCTACTGTGCTGCTGCTAGTAGTACTATTCTTATTGTTTTTATTTTTATTATGATTATTGTTATTGTTATTATGATTAGTAGTAGTAGTAGTAGTAGGAGTAGTAGGAGTAGTAGGAGTAGTAGGAGTAGTAGGAGTAGTAGGAGTAGTAGTAGTAGTAGCAGCACCACCAGCAGCAGCAGCAGTCAGGGTCGTTGTCGTGGTGGGTATAAGGCCGTACCAATCGCACGGACTATTGCAGTGGTGGGGGGGCATGCGCAGACGTGTCAATGTTCACAACAAGTCAACTTTAAAACAGGACCGGCCTGCCAAGTGTCCGGAAAAAGACATCTCGGTTTAAGGCTCTTTGACTGATTTGTTGATCTTCGGAAGATCTTCTTGGGGCTCTGCCTATCGTGAGCTGTAGGTGACTATAATCCGCGGTTTCAGGTTCAATGCCACAGCCGGCACGAATTAATCTTTGTACAACCCGAAGGTTCAAGCATCGGTTGGACAATGCAGGACTATGGCGACTCCTTCTGTTCGCTCAAAGTTGCTTGGGACCCAAAGCACCCATTTCTTGCTGGAGAATATGTGCGTCGGGACGGCCCAAACAGTACTCTGGCAGCATCCCCCTTAAATTTTCTGAAACCTTACGTATTCTTAAGCGAACCCGGGCACCCTAGTTGGAGCCGCCACCTTTTGCGAAGAGTGTTGCACTTAAGCACACCCTGCGCGTGTCCATCGCGTGGCTCGGACTTTGCAGGCCAAGGGCTTCTCGGAAGGATGACCCCTCAACCCACCCAACATCTTATAAACCCTAAACCCTAAACCCAAAGCTCTAAACCCCTGAACCCTGAACCCTCGACCCAGACGATGATCTTACAACCCAAGACGCAGCGCTAAATGAGATCCCAATGTCAGGGTACCCACTCAGCAGCCCCGGACGAATTACTCCCCTCGAGGTTACCGGCTTCCTAAGGATAGTGGCTTTGGTTTTAACTAGAGCTCAGGACCCTAGACCCTAGACCCTAAACCCTAGACCCTAAACCCTAGACCCTAAACCCTAGACCCTAAACCCTAGTCCCTAAACCCTAGACCTAAACCCTAGATCCTAAACCCTATACCCTAAACCCTAGACCCTAAACCCTAGTCCCTAAACCCTAGACCCTAAACCCTAGACCCTAAACCCTAGACCCTAAACCCTAGATCCTAAACCCTAGATCCTAAACCCTAGTCCCTAAACCCTAGACCCTAAACCCGAGACCCTAAACCCTATGACCCTATACCCTAAATAGAAGATTACGGGCTTGGGGTATGGAGCCTGAGGTTTCTCGCGGGTTTCAGGGCAGTTGTTGGTTAGGTCTTGAGGTTCAGAGTGGTGTGAGGTTTGTGGCTGAGGGGCTTACGTAAATCTACCGGGTTTAGGGTTTAGCCGTAATCTTCTATTTAGGGTTTAGGGTCTAGGGTTTTTGGGTTTGGGGGTTTAGGGCATGGGGCGTCGGAGCTGAAATCGCCCTAGACCCTCAGTCGCAGACATCATCAGTCACAGGTGGACTGATTGGGAGAGGCCCATAACGTGCTCAAGAGGATCCCCAGCCGGATCCTGCATCGCGCGGTTGATCTTGGGTTTAGGGCTTAGGGGGTTGAGGGTTTAGGGTTTAGGGTTTCAGGGTTTAAGGCTTAGGCGATGAGGGTCAGCGGTTTGGTGTATAGGGTTTAGGGTTGGCAAATCAGAAGGCCCAGCAGCCCGGTGGTGAATAAAAACCCTCCCAGCCTCAGCAATGGTAGCAATAAGATAGCAGTGAGCCAGAATATAAAAACTGTCAACCCCAACCCTAACAGCCCGAAGCTACAGCTGTCTTAAAAAGTGCTCTGTCAGAGATACACCTGCAATCCGGACCTACATCTCGTGAGCATTCTATATCTCACATGGTACCGTTTCGAAAACGGACTACCCTAAACCCTAAACTCTAAACCCTAAACCCTAAACCCTCACCCGGGCGTTGAGTTCGGGAGGTCCGGTATCGGAGCTCAGGTGCGAAGTGTAGACTTCACGTGTGGAGGTGCAAGGTTTGGGAGTTCTGTGAGGAGCGGAAAAAATCATCGTATCTACTTTGGCCTTAGAGTAGCTATATCTATCTATCTATCTATCTATCTATATGGGAACCCCCTTGAGCCGAAGCACATAATATGTACTTATATACCTCATATACTTTTATACCTTATATAGGTACATGGATCCCTGGGTAAGCTTTAGCAAGACCCCCGGGATCTCCGCAGGATTAACCTACCTGAAACGGTTCACAAACTCGAAGTCGGACAAGCCCCTTTACAAGGGTTTAGGGTGTAGGGTCTAGGGTTTAAGTCTTGGGTTTAGGGATTTAGGGTTTTGGGCTCAGGGAAATCATACAACCTAACCGCTAAACCCCTAACCCCAATACCCTCAACCCTACCTTCCACACCCTTACAGCTGATGATATAAACCCTGCATTGCCCATAATACGGAATATACCATAACTCTCATAGTTTAGGGTCCTTAAGGTAACGCAGGATTTCTATCATCGACCGTATGACACCCGAACACCCGAAGTTGGCCTGATAGTAGGAGTACATCAGCGCCCAGGCCTTGGATGCTTTTTTCTTAGGATTTGGGGTTAAGGGTTTAGGGTTTCCTAATGTGGGGGCCTTAACAATCAGACTAGGAAGTTTCGGGGTATACTAGAATTCGAACATAAGGAACCCCTCAAAAATACTAGTGTCGGTAATTACTATACCTAAACCCTAAACCCTGCAAGGCCCCTAAACAAGGGTGTGAGACTTTGGGTGGTAGATGCTTCGGGCCGCGGGGTGGGAGGCAATTTCGAAACGACCTTAAAACTGACACCCTACACTTCAATTTAGGGTTTAGGGTTTTACTAAATCCTCACTTGGAGGGTCCGGAGACTTAGTAAGTGGCTATTTCATAAAGGCTAAAAGCACCATAACCCCAATCAGGATCCCAATTGGGGCATTTATGACCCTGAGTCCTCCGAGCCCCCAAGTATAGATCTTAAGCCCTAAACTTTCAACCCGAAAAATCCGAAACACCAACAAAAACCAAAACCTAGGATTTCGAGGCTTTCTGCTCCGGAAGACCGACTGATTACACCGAACTGAGGGGCTTTCCCCCGGCATCTGCGGGTTGGGGTTTAACAGTGTTTTGGGGTATACTTTCAGGTTCATGGCTGGTTGTAAGTAGGGCTATAAGTAGGATAAACGAAATGGCTGTAACCCATGCTTCGGGACGTACAACTCCAGTTATAACTACCCATGAACCTCCACTTGGGTTTTGGGATTAACTAAGCCCTCGACCTCCCGCACCACTACATCCGGAATCGTAAACGCCTCCACGCTAAACTCGACAAAAACAACCCAAACCTAATTCTGAACCCCCAAACAGCCTCGCCGGAAACTGGGCTTTGAACCCTAAACTTTAAGCCCTCAACAGCTTAAAACCTGAAACCCGAAGTCCTAAATTTGAAACCTCAAACCCTGGACCCTAAACGCTAAAATCCAATCTTGAAAGCTTGTTTCGTGGCTTTCAACCTTTGCGTTCTTAGCTTTTCGGTGCCTCGGTGCGTTCAGGGGTTAAGGGTGTTTTAGGTCTGTAAGGTTCATAGGATTTGTAGGGTTTACAAGGTTTACAAGGTTTGCAGGGCTTAACCTTTAAATTTAGCTTGCCTGGATTCTCAAGAACCTGCATTTTTCAGGACTATACAAAGAAATCAGAAAGGGACCCCTAGACAGGGAAAGGGCTCACACACCAGGGTCAAGAGTCCGTATCTTGAGGTTCTTGATCCTTAGCTACAAGCCATCTTTCTCATAGAGACTGGAACAGAGGTCGAAGACACAGACAGCATTTTCTAAATTTCCTTGGGTTGGGAGAACTTATTTGGGGTGTATGTGCTCTACCCTAAGGCCCCAAATTACAAACCTTAAACCCCAAACGCAAAGCCCTGCCCAGGTCACTCCGAAGATAATTGGACCTCCAAGGCAACAAGGATGACACAACACAGTCATAGAAACGCCAGGCGACACGCGTCCTCCACACCCTCTTAAATACTCAATATGGGACCTTAAATTACACCGGATCTGATGCTTTGAACGCTAGACCCCAAAACGCTGAACCCCTAAACCCTAAAAAAGCCTCAATACAGAGCCTAATAAACAGCCCCCCCAGACCCTAAACCCAAAGCTCCTCAACCCTAAATCCCAAAACCTTAAACAAGCCTTAGTACAGAGCCTAATATAGAGCCCTGAGGAGCCCTAGACCCCAAGATCTGTCGCACAGGCACACACAGCTGGACACCCACTCCGACTGCACGTTGTGCGACGATGATCGGGTTCTGCTCCCGCCTCAGAAGTTTCCTAATTACAACGGCTCCTTTAAAGGGATTCATAGGGGTTCTGTAAGGGTTTAGAGCTTGGGGTCTAGGGCAAACAAGGTTGGCAGGGGCGCCAGGGTTCCTTTAAGGGCTATAATATATGCATTTAGGATTTAGGATCCTATAAAGTAACCCAAGAAGGAACGACAATGGAGACTATAGGCAATGCACAACACCAGGTCGAAGTACCGACCAATGGAAACTGCTAACATGCAGGCCTAGCAGGGAAGACTTGAGTTTCATCCGACTGTCACCGCCTCCCGAAACAACAACAATACCCTAGACCTAAACCTGAAATCTCTGGGCTGTACCGTGATTTGATGGCTATGCGATGGGTTAGGTCTG